GCTCTCCTAATAAACGTCTTTCAACCGAGGATATGGAGCAGTAATCATTGTACAGTAATCATTTTAACAGATTATTATGTTTCGACACATCTTTTTTTGTTATCCAATGATTCGTTGTGATAAGAAACTTCTTATCGCAAAAAACACCCTCATTTTTATAAGTCTTTCGTGATTTTCAAAAAACCTAACCTTCTTGTTTTGGGAATGGTGAATAAATTTGAAGAAAATGCTTGAGATGAGAGGCTGGAAATAAAATAATTCGATCATTTTGTAAAAAGTCGAAAAAGTTAGTAATAACTATTTGGTCAGTTTGATCAGGAGTGCTACCTAACCGGTGCGTTTCTTCTCCCCAGTGGTGCAAAATTCTGCATTTGCTGTGAATCCTCTAAACTTGTTATATATAAGCTGTTAAGCTCTGTTGCACAATCAGCCTTGGCAGTCCGCCGTACTCGAAGTATTTGGATAAGTTGTAATTTTGATTATCATCGACCCCATTGATATCAGTTTTTAATTATCCATGCATGTTCCATGCGTGAACAGTCAGAGTTTAATAAATACTTTATTCATAGCCTGTACAGCACAAATCCCCTGATAAGAATATGTTTGTTAATCACGCAGGGCATATCATGTGTTCGGTCAAAAAGTGAAAAAGCAAAAAACAGAATTAATGCTCTATTTTATAGTGCCCTTCAATGCCCCATCTTTAATGGAACACGAATTTTCGCCAATTCGAGATCGAATCATTTTGTCCTTTAGGTCAGATTTGTCCTCGTCTTTCCTTTTTTGCCTAATATTCATCAATTCGAGATAGAATGGGGTGTCCTTCAGGTCCTATTTATTTTGGTCCCCCTTCCCCCCATGCCCCCTTTCCGGGGTCGTCATCAAATTTTCGTCAACTTGACAATAGAATCTTGTGTTCAAGACAAATCTGTTTCATCCCGGCCTGCCTCCCCTGTACTTTAAAATTTTGGTACTGCCTGGCTTCAACTTATTTCGCTAACGCATAGATTTCGTTTATCCAAAAAAAAATTTTTTTTATCCCCACAGCAAATGTGGGCTGTTTTGAAAAGATCTGAAATATTTGTTTAGGGTGACCATTCAGTAAACAGACACACGGAAAGTTTTTGTTGTGGAGCGCATGATTGACATGGATCATTTACTATGAATGGTTGTTCTTGAAAAAAAAAAGAACTGGGTAATGAATTTTGCCCTACTACAGACTTGTTTAACTTCCAGCATTTGCAGTCATCCACGGAGGTACACATTCGTGGATAAGAACAAAATCTTGAAACTTAATACAGCTACAAAGTTCATTATTGCTGATTCATTAGTGTTGTAGCCGGCGAACATACAACTTGCTTTCTTCATTCCACGGTTGTTCTGTCCTGTGCTGGGCACTGTTCTGGTGATTCTAATATTTCTGTAGTTTATTGAAAGAATTACCGCCCCCCAATGGCTCTTCCGGCTACAGGATTTTGGTAAGGCTTTAGCGAATTTTGTGAATTCGGCTTTATTTGTTAAATGTCATCACCAACACTTTGGCAAGGCTTTAGGGATTTTTGAATTCAGCGCTTTTTGTGAAGCATTATCACCTCGTCCCAAAGTACTACTGCATCCAGATTACACGAAAACAACGCCGGAGAGCCTAAATCACAAGAAATATCTAGAAATGTCTGACGAAGTACTGTAATGAAAATGGATAAAGACGCATAGGAAGTCAGCAAGTGTTTTTTGTACAGTTTTGCGCACAATGTGAGAT